TTTATTAATAAAATATTAATTAAACTAAATATAAATACTATAATTTATTAAACCTTAATAAAAAATTTTAAGCAATAAGCAAGTAAGCATTGGTGTAATAGTTTTTTTTGGCAAAAAATATGATATAAGGCCCGAATGTGCACAAAATTTGCGACTTTAGACCTAAACTTCAATTGCACTCAATGAAGGTTCCAAACTACGTGAAATTCTCAAGTAAAATCCTAATTAAATGAAATATTCTCTTACTAGCAACTGTCTTGGATCCCATTAGCAGTCCGTAGCTCTCTCAGCTAATTGGAGTACCACATGGGAAAACATATTAACTTGTCATTGCCATGTGGATGCCATTGATGGATCCCAGTTTCTTTTGAGGAAATCCTACTAAAGAGAATCCATGTGCTATCCACGTGACATCTAAGTGGCAATGACAAGTTAACACGTTTTTCATGTGACAATTTAGTTGGTTGAGAGAGTTAGGAACGATTAATGGGCATCCAAGGTATTTGACGATAAAAGAATGTTACATTCAATTGTGACATTATTTAAAATTTTCATACAATTCAAAACCTTAATTGAGCATAATTGAAATTTAAGTTTGAAATTGAGAATTTTGTGTAAGTTTGGAACCTTGTGCCATGCTTTTGCCTGTTTTTTTTTTTTTTTTAACCTAAAGAATTTTTAAAGTAAAGAGTTAATAGTATGTGAATGTAAAATTTAAGATTTCATACTCTAATACTTCTCCCTTAAGTGGTATGGTTAATTGGCCACTTAGTGTTGGACGGTGGAAAATTTTTTTTTTAACAGTGTTGGACGGTGGATTTTTTTTTTTTTTTAACAATGTTGGACGGCATCTTAGTTTAGCAGTACTGGAAATCAAAATTATTGCATTTCACGTACCATGACTCAATGACTACTTGATACCCCAAAAGATAGTGGTTTGCACTTTCAAGTTTTGAGTTCAATACCTCTCACTAACACCTTTAATATACTAACCTTTAATATATTAACCTTTAACTATTGTTTTTATTAAAAAAAATTTAAACAAGAACAAAAGAAACTACAAAAGTGACACAGTCCGCACGATTCCACATCCACGTGTCATTGGCTGGGCGGACAAGAGAGGACGGATCCAGTCATCAAAGCGGTCAAAAGCCAAGCTTCGAAAAGCCAACAGAAGGGTAGTGAACGCGTACCCCAAGGGTCTACGGTCGTAGTAGTAAAACCCAACAGAATCGGTCAACACCTGAGCTGGCACTTTACGAAAGGCCCGCTCTTTCAATTCAATCTTTACGACCACGAGCTTCCAGTTTTATCCATTAAAACTATTTTAATTAATTTACGCGAATGTGTGTTAAATATAAATTGTCAAGTATAGGACCAAATTAATTCATCAATTGTCAGTACATTCCCAATTCTTTCTCAAATTTGCAAATCTCCCCCCTCCTTTGGGAGTTTTATGAATAGTTGCCCTATGCTTCAAAATAGATGTCGTTTTGTTTTTTTGCTCAAAATAGATATCGTTTAGAGGGTTGCACATGAATTGAAAAAAAGTTGATTAATAGTTTTATGTTGAAGAAAAGGAAAAAATTAAGACATTTTATTATTAAAAATATTAAGATTATCTAATTATAACTATTAAATATGTAAGATGTATTATGAGTTTTAATATTGTCAAGTTTATTGTGTTATTATTATTGTACATTTTAATATTTTTAATAATAGGACATATTGATTTTCTCTTTTCTTTTTATTTAAACTTATAGTACTAATTATTATGTAATTGACACCATTTTTTAGTGAATACAATTTAAAAATGATTTATATTAAAATATTTAATGAAATAGTATATATTTAGCATATGCATAACTCTTTTTTTGACGATCATGTACATAATTATCCCTTACATTATAACTCTTATGTAAGCTCCTTATAGATGAAGGAGAGAACATTTTATCCTTTTTTTTTTTTATGAAAAAATAGAGATTTGTATTAAAAAAATAAAAAGAGATTACGTTAAAATCTGTATATATATATATATATCATGGCATAATAGCCTAAAACTAAAGTATAACCAATAATATTAGTTATAAATTTAAATTATACCTATAATAAATTTAGACAATGAAGTATAGAAAATCCATCCACAACTAGAAATTAAAAACAATTGCCACAAGGCAAAAACAAAGCTACCCAAGTAAGATGATTATCCTATTAAGCAGTTAAAGACTTTAGAAAATCTCATTAAAATTGCTAGTTTTTGAGGAGAGCAAATAATACAATAGATGATAGTCTCCACCCACCAACTATTAGTCTTCCCTAGGCCACACAAGCTTTAATCTCCTATCCACCTACAATTGGAACCTATGATTGCCCACAATCTCCACATTCAATCCACCAACCGATTTCAAATCCGAGCCTTTACCACCATCAACTATTGTCCCTTAGTTTACAATAAAATTCAATAAGAAAGGACTTAACATACTTAAGAGAAAATCGTCTTAAACAATAGTAAATTCACCTCAAGAAAAAGAGAGGAGAGGGAATACAGGGGACAAAGGAGAAAATATGATAAGGGGAACAGTGAAGTAAGAGAAGGGTAGGTACCAAAAAAAAAAAAAAGGGAATGCTGAAGGGAAGGAGAAAAAAAAGACAAATAGGAGGAATAGGCTCAAGGGAGGTGAAAAGAAGGATAAAGGAGGCAAGGAAGAGAGGGACGGTAGAATGGAAACCTTCTAGCTTATGTTGTCGTTCCCCCTAGCTTTCAATGCTAAGGTTTGTTTTTTGGAGAGAGGGTTTTTAGATTGATTATTTGGACTCATTTATGGACTACATTACCTAAATTTAAGTATACAATTTCTCTCTATTCTTTTCTCCTTTCATATTTTCCTTCATTAAATTATGATTTTTTGTGGTTATCTATGGTTTTTTATTTTAATTTAGAGACTTTATGGGATTCAAATAGAGATCACTTATATAGTAAACGACTGTGTTTATCCATCCATGTTCGATGTGTGCATGCACTATCCATGGTGTCCTTACTTGTAAAATTATTGCAAGTTTATATCCCTTTTCGAATGTTAGCCCCCTTTCCTAGGGGCCAAAGTAAAAAATTTCTCGAAATTGAAATTTACTTTTTGTTCAATCAGACGACTAATAAAATATTTTCCCACTGTTTGATGTAACTAGTGCTAGTACTGATTTACATGGAAGGCAAAAACCCTTCTTTAACTCTCCAGACTTATCATAAAATGGTATTTAAACCCTTAAATTAAAAATGATGTAGATAAATCCTCTAATTCTACTAACAATGCAAATAAACCCTTCTTATTTATGAGTGTTTATCCTTTTAAGATGATATTAAACATGAAATACCATTTGACCCATTTGTAAAAAAAGCTTATTTATATTATTAATGGAGTTGAAGGGTTTATTTACTTTTTTTTTTAATTTAAGAACTTAAATGTTATTTTAAAATAAGTTTAGGAGGTTAAGGAAGGTTTTTGCCTACGTGAAAACTTTGCTTAAAGAACACACCAAACCGAATACAGGGGTGACTAAGATTTGAAAGCACGTGTGGGCATGGTCTGCAGGATTCAAGGGTTGAATCCACCGGCTATAGCCGGTCTTCCCAATAACCCAAAAATTTTGAAACTTACTAAAATTTTTTTTCTATTTCTGGGTTCCACAATTCACAGTCCCACCAAAGGAAGAGCTGTGGAGGGGAGACTCTGCTCTCAAGATTGCAGATTAAGCAGAAGATTAGCATTTCCCCTTCTCCGTGCTTTTCCTTCCTCTTTTCTTTCTCCATCGTTCTACATTTGGGTTGGGTTCTTTGAATTTTCGTTGTTTTATCATTTTTTTTTTTTTGGGATTTTTTTGGGTGAATTTTTTTATTGCAGGTACTGTTTGTCATTTAGTCTCTTTCTTACTTTTTTGGGTTTTGATTGTTCTACTTCCCCTTTTTAGCTTATCTGGGTCTGTGATGATGTAACCTTTTTCTGAATCTTGAAGAGGAAGTGAGTAAGAATTGAGTAGTGGGAGCTTTGGTGTTTGGGCAGATCAAAGATTGCCTCTTCATTATGTCTTTGACGATGGTGGGGGTGACGACGAAGAAGACGGCTCTTTTGACCAGAGAAAGATATCAGATAAAGATGAAGATAATGATAAAGCAAAAGAATGAAGAAAAGATGTCTCCTTTGATTGACATTGTTGATTGTGATTGTCGATGGAAGAGAAATTTACTTTCCCTTTTTCATTCCCGCACGCTTCTTATTCACGGGGGCTAATGAGTCTTCCTCAAATTTTGAGTTCTTTTTGATTCGTTCTCTTGGTTTCTTTGAAATTTGAGTGAACAGTCTCTGTTAGATTTTCATTTTGTGTGCTATTTACAAAAGGTTATTTGAAAATGCCCATGTATCAGCCATCTACACACAGAAGAGAAGCTGAGTTAAAGGTTGATGGGCAAGTTTTGGATGTGGAAACTGCTGTGAAAGATGGCGTCTTGGACGGTGTTGGTGGCGGATTATGTGGTGGGTTTGCATCGGAGAAATTGGATCTGAAGCAAATGATTGACGAGCTTGAATCCTTGGAGGTCCCAATAGTCTTCATATGTCCAATCTCTCTGGAGCCGATGCAGGATCCGGTGACCCTTTGTACCGGACAGACTTACGAGAGATCCAACATTCTCAAATGGTTCTCTTTAGGCCACCGCACTTGCCCCACCACAATGCAAGAGCTCTGGGACGATTTTGTGACGCCAAACAAGACACTTCAGCAGCTGATTTATAGCTGGTTCTCTCAAAAATATGTTTCCATGAAGAAGAGATCCGAGGATGTGCAGGGAAGGGTGTTGGAGATTTTGGAGACTTTGAAGAAGGTTAAGGGTCAAGCTCGAGTTCAGGCCCTTACGGACCTAAGGCAGGTTGTTAACGCTCATTCCACAGTGAAGAAGATTGTTGTCAACAATGGAGGTATTGCTCTGATTTCTTCTTTGTTGGGTCCTTTTACTACGCACGCTGTTGGGTCTGAAGCAATTGGGATTTTGACAAATTTGGATCTTGATTTGAATTCAAAATCCCATTTGATGCAGCCTGCAAAAATATCATTAATGGTGGACATGTTGAATGAGGGCTCAATTGATACCAAAATTAATTGCACTAAATTGATTGAAATTTTGGTGGGGGGGAATGATTCCAGTGCAGAAAAAGTAGCTAGCTTAAGTCTTTTGGTTGGTTTGTTAAGGCTAGTGAAAGATACGAGGCACCCTAATGGAGTACTAGCTGGATTGCTTTTGCTTAAAGCAGTTTGCTGTCGTGAATCTGTGAGAATCTCATTTGTGAATGTTGGAGGAGTTCCTCAATTGGTTAAGCTCTTGCCCAGTTTGAACAATGAATGCTTGGAATTAGCCCTCTGTGTATTAGAGTTACTATCTGCTACTCCAGAAGGAAGATTGGCATTGAAAGATTGCCCGAACACAGTTCCAAATTTGGTGAAACTTTTAATGAAAATTTCAGAAAACTACACTCAGTTAGCATTGTCAATCTTGTGGGTAGTTTTCAAGGTTGCACCCGAAGAATCTGCCTCACTTGCTATGGATGCAGGCTTGGCAGCAAAGCTGCTTTTAGTTATACAGAGTGGTTGCAATCTTTCAATGAAGCAGCAGTCAGCCGAGTTGTTGAAATTGTGTACCCTCAATTACACAGCAACAATCTTCATTTCCAAGTGTAAACTTACAGCAACAATACAGTGAAGAAACAGAAATTGTCAGTCTGTTGATATAGTGGATCTACTTTTAGTCTTTTACTCTTGCCCAGAGTAAGGAGCTCCAGTTTTGGACAAATCAAGATGGAGGCTGTCGGGGTCCTTGAGGTACCCTATCCCTGTTGTGGATATTACAGAACTTCCATTCAATCAGCTATTCCACTCATAGAAGCTGCATGTTGTGTATCTGAGTTAATTGTACATAGCATTGTTACGATCCCCTATCTATAAGCCAGTTTCTTTTCAAGCCTTTTAAATAACCCAGGTGGTAGAGTGAGAAGAATCAAGCGCAGCCTATGCTGAACTACAGTTGTTGGAGTCCATAAGAGAGAAATGTGCCCTTAAAATGTGTTTCTATGGTCACTGAATGACTATTTAGCAACCATAATAGGGGGAAAAGATGTGGAGAGGGAACTCTTGTTCAAATGAGTTTTGTTTGTCTGTAATTAGCCTCTCCACTGATCCTGAAATTCCCTGTGCCTCTACAAGCTATGTTTTTTTTAGGGACGTAGTTTAGTTTGAAAGGAGTTTTGGATTTTACAGTTCAAAGTTCTCTGTAATTTTCACATGGTCAACCATTAAATCTACTTGAATATGAAATTTGTTTATGTTCACTACATTGTCCTATCTCTTGAAGTATTTTGTTCTCAGACGCATTTTCTCGAACACTCAATTCTATTCTTGGTTAATAAGCAGTAGCTTGAACGAAAAAGGTTCGAAGCCTTCAAAGACACAAATCTTAGACTCGAACTTCGCATTTTGTCCGTGGAAAAACAAACAAACGAACGAATCAAGAACACTAACTGTATCACTTTATGAAAGTAGATTTTTCTATTTGTCAGTCTTGCATAATAATTTTAAGGATAATATAGGATGATGGAGTTGATAGATGCATTTCGTGGGGGTAGGCCAAAGGGGCTAAGGCTGAGGGCCATGGAAACAACTTTTGTTGGCACAAAAGCATCCAAACGCATTCTCCTGTTATGGTTCAGTGGTGTCATTACAGCCCAAAAGAGTTATCGGTGGAATGTCCCCGACCAGTAATCAAACCTCACCGAAGAATAAAATGTTAACTTCTGACTCTTAATTTTTAACAATTGCCCTTGTAAAAAAAAAAAAAAAAAGAAGCATTCAGGCGCACGAATCCTTGCCCTTGCCACGGGAGAAAAGGCACATTTATTTGTAGGAGGGAAACAATGGTTGAAATCCTGTCCTGTCTTGCCTCAAAAGGAGAGCAGGCAGGAAGTCTTGGGCAGCATTTGAAAAGCAAGGTGGGCGAATCAACGACTTGAGTAACTTGAGTTCAAATATTGCAAACTCAAGTTTAGTTGATCTGCTTTTTGAACTTCACCCAGATTCCACATTACTGTCGGAACTTGGAAGCGGTTGATTGATTATCTTTAGACCAACTTCCTTTAAGAAAAATGGAGTTATTAGCACCTGCTTTCATCTTCTCACTTAAAAGCATAACAACTCTTCATTTTTTGGTACGTGAATCTTAATTTAATGCTTTCGTCTGCATTCTAGATTTGCAATTAAATAGGGTAACGAGACAAGTAGAACAATTATTCATGCCAATGATCTAAATAGTTTAATAGTTATCTCTTTTCACTAAAAATAAGAAATCATGAGTTCAAGTCATATGGTATACGGGTGGGGTGAAATAAAAGATGAGAGATGATTACCTCTCATTATGCAATTAAAAAAAAAAAAAAAAACAATCATTCATGACGAAGAACGTGAAAAATGGCTCACCAACTTTGCCCAAAATGAACAAGTAATCCTATCAACCACCAAACACCACTTTAAAATTATAATCTCATCCAAGTTAGTAGTATCAAATACTAGTAAAATCCACATTCACTTTTTTTTTTTTTTTAGTTGCACAATGAGAAGCAAGTATCTCTCATTTCTTATTCCACCTTAGTTGTATGTTATATGATTCGAATTCAAAATCTCTTACTTTCAATGAAAAGAGATAACTATTGAGTTATTTAGATCGTTGGCACATTCATTTTTAAGTGTTCTTTTTTTTATACATTTATACTAATGATAGCACATACATTAAGGAATATACATCATCTTATTTTTTAAACTATTTTCCACCAATCCTAAAAGTTAAAGAATTTGAGGTAACTTAGAAAAATAAATTAAATTAGGCATACCCTTCACTCCTTTCATATGGCATTAGAGCTAAACTTAGCTTGCTTGCTATTTATTGCCTTTCATTGTACTTGTCCATGCCAAATTTGATGCTTTAACAATTTTATAGTAATTAATTAGATTTTAAAAAACTTATTTCGAGTCCAAAATTCAAATCCCTCCATTTATTTATTTTACAAATACAAAGACAAGTGAATGAGACATGATACAATCTACTCCAAAAACAATGAAACATAGTTTTAAATCCAACCTCTTTAATTTTATTAAAACATAACTTATCCAAAAAAAAAAGTTACATACCCAGAAAAATATGTATATATTTTGTGTTTTGAACTGGGTCTAGATGTAAGAAAACTCAAGCCCAGCTTAAAATCAGTCTAAAAAAACAATGTCATGAGTCATGACCCCTTTTCTTAAGTAGTATTGAGTGTTGAAATTTTAAATCTATGCTCTCCATTTAATCTTAAAAGAACAAAACAAGCGCTTGCAGGCAGTGATTGTTTTTAAACAATCAATATTGTCATAATTTAAAATTTTTATGTTTTCTTTTTCTTTTTTTTTTGTTAAACTCTTAATTTGATATCTTAATTATTGCATAAACTTTTAAATTAGTCTCTAAATTAAAAGAATTTCTAATTTTGTTCCTAAAATTTTTAAATTTAGTTTAAATTAATTTTTTTATTAAAAAACAATTGATGTGTCCATTACTTAATAGTGGAATGTTGTTACTTGATAACCAAGTATTACATTACTAACAAAACATAATAGTTATTTTTGTATGAAATTACTAATTTGAAGTCAAATTTAAAAACTTTAAAAATTAAATTAATTTTTTTTTTAGTTTAAGACTAATTCAAAGGCTTATATAATAATTAAAAGGCGAAATTAGATATTTAACCAATTTTCTTTCTCCCAATTTTTCAATGTTAAAAAAATAAATAAACAAATAAAACAACGAAGACAATGTCATGACCGAGTGTGAGCTTACGCTGATCCGAAATCCACAGGATTGCCCCTCCCCTCATTACAGCCCATTTTTAAACTCCAAACTTTTCGGCCAATCACTTTCAAACTACCCCCAGAATCCAAAAATTCCAAAAGGGAAAGCACGAAAGGGAAAAAAATATGTCATGGTTGGCTCGCTCGATTGCCGATTCTCTTCTTCTCGACGACGAGGAATCGGAGTCAGCAGGCTACAACGACGTTGCAGCCAACACTTCTTCATCGACACTGAGGGATGAAATTCAATGTCAAGAAACTGGATCGCCATTGTTGTCTCCAGAACAAGTGGCGGAATTGCGAGGCGTCAAGGAAGATCTAACCGAACTCAAGCAATCTCTAACGCGGCAGCTATGGGGGGTCGCGACATTCTTGGCTCCGCCTCCGGAGCACTTGGATCATCAATTTGATGATCGGTTGTCTTCCGATTTGAACCGATCTCAGCAATCAGATCAATCTGGCGAACAAGAGGAGTTAGTTGATTCGGCGGGTGCGGGAATTAGAAGTGATTTTGTGGATATTGGGGGGAATTTGTCGAAAATGGCCTCGGGTTATTTTCCGTTTGGATCGAGGGAAAATGGAGAAGGAAATGAGGAGGGAAATGAGGAGGAGGAGAATGAGGAGTTTTCTGCAGTAGGGATTACGGATGAGGTATTGGCATTTGCAAGTAATATTGCGCATCATCCAGAGACGTGGTTGGATTTCCCTCTCGACCCGGATGAAGATTTGGATGGTAATTTCTTGCTTAGTGGGCTATCGAAAATTGTTATGTTCAATCAAATTCCTTGTAATTTCCATTTGCTAATGCTGAATCTATTCTGCTGCTGAACTTCTTTGATGGTGGTAACTTTAATTCGATAATTGATTAAGATTGTGCTGATTTGCATTTATTCTAAATTACTATTAAGAGTATGCATTTCTGATTTATGCCTTCTTTTAATTATGTTTTAGATTTTATCATGTCTGATGCTCAACGAGAGCATGCGTTGATTATTCAACATCTTTCTCCTAGACTAGCTGCTTTGAGAATTGAACTTTGTCCCTGCCATATGAGTGAGAGTTACTTTTGGAAAGTCTATTTTGTTCTTTTGCATTCGCGGCTTGACAAAGAGGATGCAGAGGTTTTGTCTACACCCCAGGTCAGTTACTCGTCTGATAATCCTTTTCAATAAATGTGAGACTTCTTAGGATTTGCTTTGAAGATGGAGTAGTGTTTATGATTTTGAGTAAGTATTAAGCAGTTAATATAAGATTTGCTTTTGTTTTTCCTTTTACTTTTCCTTTCTGGGATTGAAGTTCTACTTTTAGAATTTTAGTCCTTTGTTTTTAAACCTCAGCACGTATGCAAGTGGAAATATAACATAATCTTGATTAACTTATCAATTACTATACTCCTTTGAGCTTTCTGGATGTTTGTTCTTTCATGTTGTGCATTCTTTGTGATAGCTTGGAATCAAGCCTTCAGTTTTTAAAGTCACACCCATATTTTTTCATTTTTGCTTTACTTCTTTCTATCCATAAACCATATCAGACTTTTTCCAATGGATCACCACAGGTTGTTATGAGAATGAAGTTATAAATTTGTTGGAGATAGTTCAATTATAATGGTATAAACTTCAGCTTGTCAAATGCTGCTTATGTTTATCAGAAAGGGGACCAGTGCACATGGTTATACTTGAGACAGTATATATCAGTCTACTCTAGCTTTGATTTCCCTGATTTTTAACTTTCTTTAGTAGTATATATCCTTATTGGAAGGACCAAGCTAGAATTGCATCCATGCCATCTCTGCCTAATTCCTAGTTGTTCTTAGTTTTGCTAAAGGTATTATAAATCTTTGTGAAAGTAATATTTCATGTAGTTTAGCTGAAAGTGGTGAGGTGATCTTTATTTAATTTATCCTTGAGTTTCTAGGAATGAAGGAAAAGTATACTCTTGGTAAGAACCATTTATGTTTCTTCTTTTGCACATTGTCATGTTTGGCAGTTATCTGATTTTCATGTAGAACAAGATTTGTGATCAATTGTTAAGGTGGATAATCTAATGTCTGTAGATAATCGAAGCCAGGGCTATGTGGATGAAAGAACTACAAAAACAAATAAAGCCAGAAACTGATTGGGATGGTAGAAGTGATTCCTGCTTAAGAGACAGTAGTCTTCTCCATGAAGACCTTCTTCCTGCCTCATCCAGTTATTCTGCCCTTGAAACCATGTCCCCTAGGACATACAATTCTGAGCCAACTTCTAGCATCACAACAGAATATGAGACTGTGAAGCACCCTGTTGAAAATACTGAGATGCTGTTTGTTGACAAGTCTATTATTGAGGAAAAACCAGTGTCTAGGATTGAGGAAAAGGGTTTACTGGTTGGTCCATCCTCAAAAATAGTGATTCCTAATTTTGAAGAAGAAGATGATGATGATGATTGGCCAGAAGAGGAAGGTTTAGAATTTGGTGGAAGTGCTGCTATTTTTGTGGGGAATGAAGAAGATATTTCCTTCAGTGATCTTGAGGATGATGATGTGCTTTTAAAGTCTAAGATAGTTTCAAAGAGTATTGAAACTTCTCAAACATGAGACCTCCAATTGGCTTCAGCTATAAGTAAGCTCTGCTGATTGAACCAAACATGAAGGCATCTCACTTGATGTTGAAAGCCTTAGATTATGGAAACTAATAGCTAGCCTGATCTCAGGAGCTGTGGTTCGAGGTGGTGAAGGTGTCTTGGAAACTTATTTGTATATGATGGATAGTCAAGTGTCAATAGAGTGAGATTTATTGATTGATTGTACATGGGGTGCTATTGAACCAGAACAGTATTGTAATTTCAAGGGGGAAACTGCTTTGTAAAATGAAATCTTCAGCCTGTTTAGAGAAAAATGTTAAAGGAGAAAGTTGGAATGACAACGCACAATTGCAACAACAAGAACAACCTTCTTAATCGCTCCTCGTTGAAGTTTGTGGAATATTTCAGAGCAGGTTATGCACTCAAGCCTTGAGATTATTCCTTGGATCATTGGAGATCTTAACACCTTTGTTATAAAGTATTATTTCATTTTTTCATATATTAGTTTCTGAAAGAGATTTTTCAATGACAGATTTCCTCAGAAGGAAGGTTTTGGTTATTGTCAGATTATCGCTGTAATCTTGTGTTCTTGTATAACTACTCTTACTCTTCTATTCTGCCTCTTAAAGTGGAAATACCCCAAGGGGGAGATTTTATTGTAAATTCATTCATGGCCTGTACTTGAATGAAAAAGGTTTCTCTTATTGACTAATAAAGCAGGTCTATGGTACATACTCTTGAATAACAAATCTTTGATTAATAAAGAAAGGAAATGATTTTTGTATAACTTTTTTATTTCATTTTTTTTTACAATCTTACGTGTCATTTAAATGATTGATTCTTTTAATTCATGTAAAATCTATGATATTAAATGTATCAACTCATTTAATAATATGTAAAAATTATATAAAAAAATAATATAAAAAGATTATCCATAAAACACCACTCAATAAAAAAATGCTTACCTACCATCAAGTCTGGGCTGAGCAACTGGCTCTTACTTCCCAGTGCTTAAGTATGGTTTTTGTTACATATTTTCTTAAAGTTACATAAAATTATTTAATTTAATTTATTTTTTATTTATTTGTAATTTTTAATATTTAATTATAATATTTAAAAATAATAATTTATAAATTAATTTTAATTTATTAAATAATAATTATTAATTGTCAATTTTTTAATTATCAAATTAATTAAAATTTAACAATCTTAATAAAATGATGGGTGGCATAATGCCACCCCCAACACTCCCCTTCCCCCAGACAAATAGAAAAACAAAGAAGTCCTTTTATAATTATATCTAATGCATACGTGATGTGTGGTCTCAGACTGTCAAACCGTGTCAAAGAGTCGTCAAATTTGAGAGCACTTTCCATGGCAAGTTCGCAATTTACGTTGAAAGTGCAACAAAAGATAAATAATTTCTACTTTCGAACAAAAATCCAAAACTACCTTGGCTTCCTTATAATTCCAAGCCCGATCAGGACTCACCAAACCTGCACTTGTCTTATTAATGTGATGACTGCTAAATACGGCACCGTTTTATAGTGCATGCATGATCAATCATTGTAGCAAGACCCCCGCTTTCTTGGAAAAATCTGACCAGTAAGGTTCCACGGTCCAAAATCAGATTCAGCGCGCGTCACTGTTTTCCATCCTGACCTGAGAATATAGTAACAGAAAACGCAACTTGACAGCTCCGTCGTTTTGAGCAGTTGGTGGCTCCTCTGCAACCGACCAGCCCAGGTTCGTCTCCTCCCCATCTTTCTCCCTCCGTTTCTTCTCTTTAATATTCCCTCAATTCAACAGAAAATACCCATTTCTTTAATACATCTAAGTAAAAATTATCTGTCTCTTTCCTGTCTGTACTTCAATTAGCTCATCCATCACGCTTCTATCTGAGATGTGGAACCCTAGATTTCTTGATCCCTGAAACGTCTCTCTGCGTCATCTGGTCATCTGGGTAGTGATCAAAATCGTAAATTTCCTACCTTTTTGCTTTGTTTTGGTTTTGGCAGTTGAAAAATTCTAGGGTGGTTCCGATTGTTGTTGGTTTACGGTTTGTTTGTTGATTGCTGCTGTTTTTATGGACCTGCAATTGGCGAATAAGGCGTTGAGCCTTTCACAGAGGAAGAGAAAATGGCTTATTGTTTTAGCGGTATGTGGGGTTTCCGGATATGGGGTTTACAAGGTGTATCATTTGCCCTCTGTTGTGAAGAAGAGGGGGAGGTTGATGAAGCTCTTTGGATCGGTGTTTTCTTTGGCTGAATTGATGTCGGATTCTGCAGAGACTATCAGTGTCGTGTCTAAGGATTTGAAGGAGTTTTTACAATCTGATTCAGATCAAATCCCCAATAGTTTGAAGCAAATTTCTAAGATTGCAAGGTCAGAGGACTTCTCTGAGTCTTTAATTAGGGTTACTGAGGCGTTGACCGTTGGGATTTTAAGTGGGTATAAGTTAGAATCGAGGAATAGCAATAGATTGGCAACTGGTCCAGCAAATTCGTGTTTTACTGATAGGATGATGGATCGAATTTTCTCCAATGCTGGGACTGGTTTTGTTTCTGTCATGGTCGGTAGCTTTGCAAGGAATTTGGTTCTGGGTTTTTACTCCAAGGAAGGAGCAGCTAACGGATTGAGCGGAAATGGTGGGGTGAATGTGTCTCAATGTGTGTCAGGTTCATCAGATGTTCCCAAATGGGTAAATTTGCTCTATGATGATAAGTGTAAAGGGCTTATGGCTGATTGTATTCAAAAGTTTGTGAGCACGGCAGTAGCAGTTTATCTTGACAAAACTATGGACATCAATACTTACGATGAATTGTTTGCTGGGTTGACCAATCCTAAGCATCAGCACAACGTGAGGGATATTTTGGTTTCTGTTTGTAATGGTGCTGTGGAAACACTTGTAAGGACATCACACCAGGTTTTAACTAGTTCAGACTCAAATTCGAAGTCGATCTCCAGTTCTAGATGTGCCATCATTGATCAAGGTGAAGATGCTGGTGAAATAAGTGATGATTGTTTTGAGCAAGAAGCATCCTTGAATCAAATGAGAAAGGGAAGCTCATTTGATGGGGTTCAGAATGGTGGCTGGGTGTACAAAGTTACTTCAACCTTGGCTGTTCCAAGCAATAGGAAGTTTGTGCTTGATATGACTGGGAGGGTAACATTTGAAACAATAAGATCTATTGTGGAGTTCCTGTTATGGAAGCTATCTGATGGTTTGAAGAGAAGCTATAATGTTGTCCACGAGGAGGTTGTGGACAGGGGATTGGAAGTCATCAGATATGTTGGTGCAAAATCTTCTGTTATTGTAACCATTTGTCTGGCTCTGTACTTGCACGTTGTTGGGGGTACTAGAGTTCTGTTACGTGCTTAAATGTGTCACTCCCTTTGTTTTAAAGTAGATCATGATTTGATGATATAAAGAAACATTACTGAAGTTGCTCAGTTTACAAGGGCCTTTCCTTTTTCTGTCTCTTTAAATGTATGCATAAATAACCAAGGTCCTATGGGGGCCAAAAAAAAAAAAAAAGCTAAGGTCGCATGGTCTATTTTGATTGTTTAGTGTTGGCTTCTAGAAATTTACAGCTTGATTTTTATATCAAGCTAATAACTCAGCCTCTGCTTCAACATTCTTACTACTGTATTACAAAGATTGAAGGCATTTACTGTTAAACAATACTTGTTTCCTGTGAGCAATGGAATGTACGATCAACATTTTTGGTGATTGTAAAACTGATGAGACAAATTGGATTATTCTTTAGCTCTTGGTTTAATGTTAGACAAATTGGATTGTAGTAGTTTCTGAGTTTATGATATGAATATTAAACTTTCTTGAGCTGTAATATGATTTTGTTTCTGCAGAATAGAAACATTTCAACCTAATGCAACCGAGAAGTAATTATTTCATGTTATTCCCTGTTGTTTCAGTTTCACACACTCTCCTGGCTGTTGCAGTTATGGATATTCTCCAAGTCCAATCAATTCCCTGATGGTGGGCATTTGTTGTTATCAAAGGCACTTGCTTTGCCCCAACTTCCTATGGACATGTACCAAAAAAATCAAAAAGAATTTTTCTCTCTTAAGTTTGAAAATTCATTGGTATTTCCTCTAGCACAATAGTATGTGAAGGTGTTTTTTTTGGTCCAGATGTGAAGGTGATGAATGATTATAAATTGTCATAGCCGTGTTTGACACGCCTGTCTGCTCTCTAGCTTTGAGCACAATGGCATCATCTGGAAGAATTGACGGGTAATGAAAATGCGTGGGAAATTGACTCAAGAACGGCAGACATTCTTGCTTTTCCTTTCCAAGCCTCCCTTCAAGGAATTTTCATTGGCATCAGACTTGTCTTCTGTATCCAAGGTACTTGAACTCAAACATTCTCTCTCTTTTTTCCTTTCTGAAATCTTTCTTGGGTCATTGCACTGACAACCTTTTTTTATGCTAAGCAAACTTAAACCATTTTCTTTGCAACTTCCTTTTTCACATCCAACCATATCACATAAACATATGAAACAAGTAAAACTTTGATGTTTGCATAAAATCAACAATCAGGATTTCCTTTCTAGGGAATAAATTTAAACATCTAATTCATTGTTGCTTAAACATTCGATTAAGAAACATCACCACTTCAAGGCTTCAATCATATGCAACTGAGAATTATTTTATTTTGTTTTATTTCCTGTGAACTGGAACATTATCTTCTCCTTAAGAACACAACTCACAACAGGATCGTGTTCAAAATCAAGGTTGTGTATGAACATAATCCAAATGAGCGGCTAGAGCTCTTTTCATCAAACTATCCTCTTTCATTCCTTCACAATTACCATCCATCTCGCTTTGCTCTGCCTCTATTCTCTGTATATTTGTATGTCAAGAAACCAAAAAAGAAGAAAGAAAATGGAACATCATTAGACGAGACAGAAATTAATCAAGTGAAAAGGAAAAAGGAATATTAAGAAATTGATTAATGGACATGCCCCATGTTGAGAATTGGTAACCTCAGGGTTGGGACGAGTAGCATGACTCAGGACTAAACAGAGGAAGATTGCAGTGATGAAGAGGGTGGTGTGCTTAGACATTTTTGGCTTTCACTGTTTTGGTTTTGAGGGGTTGCAGCTACTGAGAAGATGAATTTATGGAGGGAAACAGAACTGATGAGGTAACGTGACAGGGGAATCTAGTAGGATTTGGAGAAGAATAATGGTTTTGAAATTTAAACGTGTGGCTATGCATGCATATGCTTGACTTGGTAGCTAACACTTTCGATAGAATGATATCTTAAAAGAGAATGGAAAATGAAGAATGAAATCTATATAATTCATAGAGAATTTTATTTTATTATCTGAATTACATCAAATTATAAAATAAACATAGTTGGATGAGGAAGGGCATCAATATTAGTGGGATCAATTCCCTGTCCAATAATTAATGTAATGCGGTTTAATAAAATTCAAATTACACTATACTCTTTCATAATCCATATATTAACAGTTGCCAGAAACCCTCAATACCAATATGGAATGATCACAACCGCCTCTTTTTTATTTTTTTTAACAGATTGTCACGGGGCGGGCTCAAAGCCCGTCCATGAAAAAGAGGGGAATGCACTTCAAGCTGGTTAAATGTCAGTTGACTCGAAAGACTAGGTGTCAACCGCCTCTTTTTTATTTTTTTTAACAGATTGTCACCAGGCGAGCTCGAAACCCGTCCATGAAAGAGGGGGAAATGCACCTCAAGCTGGTTAAGTGTCAGTTGACCCGAAGGATAAGGTGACAACCGTCTCTTTTTTCTTTTCAATCATCCAAGGTACGTAGATTTACGCATAAAATCTTTCAAAATCTCTTTGGGCACAATAGCTTACTACTCTCAAAAAAATAAAAAAATAAAAAGCAAAGGGAAAAAGTTACTTGAATATACTATACTGTTAATGGATCCTAAATACTTTAAAAAGATTAATAAAAAGGTAATTTTTCATAAATTTTTTAATTTTCAAAGTAAATAGTCATATATATATATGAATTATTGAGATTTTGTACAAGTGTAGCATGTAAAATTTGTATAAGTGGATCTCAATTTATATATATATTATCTTGTGTAATAAACAATCTTTTTTTATTTTTACAGTCACTTAATTTATATGTCATATGATTTGAAATTAAAATTTTTTATTTTTATTAATAAAATTATTAATAAATTATTTAAGTCATTGATAATGAATTATATCTTTAACTACATTAGAGGAATGTAAATTTAATTAATATGAGTTGTGAAAATTGGCTCACAAGCACTGTAAACAAAATTACGATCAAATTTGAGCGAAGTGGTCACACCATCTAGCTCGAGACAAGATTTCAAGCCGGAGGAACTCCACCAAGCGGTACAATGGGTCGCACGTCTCATTAAGGGAGGTGAAATGTTCACTAGATTTGGGAATTGAATCTTCAGTTACTAACAACTAATAAAATTAACTTACTAACCATTACTCTTGTTTAAAAAAAAAAAAATTTTTCAAGGCAGAGACCAGAATCATGGGGGTGCATACATAAAAACCAAAACATGGAATTGGCAAACCCCTTTCTTTTTCCCCAAAACAAATGCTCAAGTAATCATGGATTTGCCTCTTAATTCTATTAATTGAATAAATGAACCAGTTAGTGTTGGCTTAAAAACCAAAAGACAATTGTTATTGGCTCCTGTCCCTCTCCTTGTTGTGATTAATTAAAAATTAAGCTAATCTAGCTAAAAGGTAGGTTCGGTGTAGCTAGATATAAAGGTAGGTAGGAAAGGATCATCCTAGTGGGAAACCTATGATGATAGCCACGCTCACATTTGGGTCTAATCATTATTTTCTCTTCTTCTTTAGTATTGCAGCTAAAATCTCTTCTTCTTTAATTAAAATTCAGTCTTGCCTATGTTTCACTTTATTATTGATTTTCTAAAGAAATTAAGAAAAATCAGAGCGTATAATAATTTAAAAAATTAAGATTAAAAATAAAAATATTAAAACATTTTAAATAAATTAATATATTAAAAAATCAATTACAAAGATTTAAATATTTTTAAAAAAAATTTTAATATTTAAAATATCATAACATCTTAATTTTTATTTTTATTTTTTACAAATATAATTAATTGTCTAATCTATAATGCAAGCTATTTTTTTTAATTTTAATTGCATAATGAGAACCAATCATCTCTCATCTCTTATCTCACCTCAACAGCATATCATGCGATTTAAAATTAAGATTTCTTATTTCTAACAAAAGATAATGACCACTAAATTATTTAAATCGTTGACTATAATACAAGCTCATGCATAAATATAACGGTATCCTTTATGGTATGGGTAAAATTGTCATCTAAATCCCAAGCAGTAATGCGCTTTGATTCATGAAAAATGATTATGAAAATTATAATTAAGGATATATATATAACTTCATGTAACTATTAAAGCGTCATATTAACCTGTGGAAAATGACTTTACCTAAAATGGCGACTTTGAAAATCATTTTTGAAAATCATTTTTTCACGGAAGAAGAAATTATTTTGGTAGAGTGAAGGTCAAGCATGCTAGGCATGGGGCCGCCTTTGATTTTTCTTTTTTAGGCCAACGGGGCCTTCTTGTATTAATCTAC